CTGGAGGGTCATTGCGCGCTACCTCAAGGCTCGGCAAATAACCCTGAGGTATCGGCCGAAACTGATGAGTCATCTATTTGCTTTGTGGTGCAGGCCAAGGGCTTCATTGGTGGTACTGATGATCGGTATGCAATGGGAGGCCTTGCGCGTCTACACGCCATTTTGCATATTCGCACTCTGTGTTTCATCCATTTCTTCAGCGGGTTTCGCAGAAAGCAAGACCTCCAGGCTTGCATTGAAGGACATTGGGTACAAGGCGTCACCCAGCTATTCTGTGTCTCCGTCGACTACTGCTTACAGAATGCCAACGGCGATCTTACGTCAGATGCCAATCAGGAGTGGTGGAAGGACCGCATCTGTAGTGGCGCTGTTTGTGGTGTCGGCGGCGGTCCACCATGTGAGACGTACAGCGCTGCGAGATTGCTGCCAGATGGACCCCCACCACTGAGGTCGCATGACCACATCACAGGTCTGCCCTGGAACTCTCCGAGAGGTTGGAATCAAACCCATCTCGGCAGCGTTCTCATGCGGTTTATCCTGCAGATGATCCTTTTGGTTGCGCGCATTGGAGGGTGTGCTTTTTTGGAGCATCCAGCCTTCCCTGTTTGGGCCCTTCACCGCAGGCCATCTTCTATTTGGTCAACATGGGTGGTGCGCCTTCTTCGACGTTTGGCTTGCACTGAGATCCTGACGTTGGACCAATGCATTTACGGGTGCCCAGCGAGAAAGCCGACCACGCTCCTGTTGGTGCGCATGTCCAGCATGGTGGGTGAGACCCAGTTGCTGGGTCGAGGTGGCCGCTGTCCTCACCCACCTGGATGGCACAAGGCCTTAGCAGGACGTGATGAGCACGGTGCCTTTTGCACTTCGGTGGCGAAGATCTATCCGCCAGCTCTCAATGCAGCTCTGGCGCAGAGTGTTGCGAATTTTGCGCTCAGCTATGCGAGCACAGGACAAAGGGTTGAGCCCTTGTCGGATGATTTCCTGCTGATGCAGTCCTTTGACTTTGTCGAGTGCACCAAGGTGCAACCCGATTTTTACGGGTGACTCGACGTACAGATTGGACGCCAGCATGCATGTTCCAAGCAGACTCCTGCAGTATCCAGAAAGGAAAAAAAAAAGTATCAACTATATCAAGTGAACTAATCCCAATCCTGTTCGATGTTACCCTCTGGTAATTTGTTACATAGCGATTGAAAATGGCCATAGAAATAGTTCATTTAGCCACTAAACATGGTGAATCATCAACCAACAGGGTTTATAATCCTGTTCGATGTTATTTATCCCATATTTCAATGCCATTGAAAAACATCAACCAAGAGCCATGGGTTGGTTCTCGCAGCCACTGCTAAAATTTCCCTCGCGAATGTGAAGAGATGGCCCAACTTTTTCCATGTCGAAATCGAGGATTTCACAGATTTCTCAGATGTTGCCACACATACATCCATCCTATACAAGGTGGTGCCCCCCAGTTATAAGTTGGTTTATAAGCTCCATTAACTATAGTTATATCTACCATAAACCATAGTTATTGGACTTATCAACCAACTTAGCTATCTAGGGGGCCCCACTTTGTACCATCTGGTTATGACTAACATAGCCATGGAAAATCCACCCATTTCTAATAGGTAAACCGAATCTATTTCGATTAGGGCCATCGAAAAACCATGGCGAACTGTTTAACAAATAACCAGAGGGTAATGGGAAACCTTATAATGACTATAGAAATCCCTATGAAACTGGATATTCATCACCATCCCCTAAAGGACTTTCAGCATGCGGTCGTAACATGTCGTAACCACGCTCACATCTACCCCAGGCACTGGTGGCGGGTTTACATATTTTGACCATGGCACATATGATTCATACTACAATGATATTAATGCAGAAGTCCGCACTTCTAAAACTGCGGGAGACCCAGGCATTGTAAGTTCATAACTATAGGATAGCGCACTCATATACAAAATAAGAAAACAGAGGCCAAGGACATATCTTCCATACAAAAAAGATAGGTCTTGGAAGGGAAGAGTCCTGATCCTTGGAAAATTGGAATCCTTCCTTGGAGATATAAAATATGGGTTGGCATATCTTCGTATTCTATGAATCATGATAATTATTGTTGTATATCAGTTATTAGTTATTACGTCGTATTACTCGTTTTTACATACAGTATCTCCCATTATAAACCCATTTTTTAGATATGGGTATGGGTCAAAACCTATTATTACCATATGACTGGGGGAATAACCATCCAGCTATACCAGCTATTTAGGGTACCGTTTGGGTACCAGGGTTTTGACCCAAACCATATGAATGTAACGTGGCCGATCATAGAGACCCTGCAAAAAATGCCAAATTCTTAGCTGATTAGCAGATAATCCCATACCATCCAAGACTAGTTCGGATTAGTTTCTACCAGTTGATTGACCCAGGTAATCATCCATTCATCATCCATTCATCATCCCATTAACCATCCATTAATCATCCATCATCCATCCAGTTCATTGACCTAGAAACTGCTTTCAATGCCATGTTTATTTCATCACCATATTCCATGATATTCCCATTTCACATAACCAGTGATACCCTCTGGTAAACTGTTACATAACTATGGAAAATCAGCAATTTTCATGGGAAAACTCACTATTTCTATGGTTTCTATGGCCATGTTCAATAGCAAACTGTTAGTCAGAACCAGAGGGTAAATCCAATTACATCCCATTAAATCACCATTGAATCACCATTAAAATCACCATTAAATCACCATGAAAAATCACCATAAAATCGCCATTCATATCCATTAAATCACCATTAAACCACCATAAATCCATTAATGGTTTTCCTATGGTTTTCCTATGGTTTTCCTATGGTTTTCCTATGGTTTTCCTATGGTTTTCCTATGGTTCAATAGCAAACTGTTAGTCAGAACCAGAGGGTAATCTTCATGGCTTTTCCCATGGGCTTTTCCCTTCCCAAAACTTCACCTGCCAAGTCCTCGGCGTCGCCTGAGAGACCGAAATGGCACGGTTGATCCATACCCTCTGGTTATGTCAAAACGGTGGTTTAATGTGATTTTCCATGGGATTTAATGGAATCCATACCCTCTGGTTATGACTTAACAGTTTGCTATTGAAAATGGCCATAGAAATAGATATTTAGAGTGAGTTTTCCCATGAAAATGGGTGATTTTCCATAGTTTTTTGTATGTTTACCCATTTAGAGTGAGTTTTCCCATGAAATTGGTGATTTCCATAGCAAAATGTTAGTTTACCAGGGAAAATATCTGGGAAACATCATCGAAAAAGCCTCCTGGACAAATAAAAAAACGGCCTCTTTCTGGGGGTTATATAATGTTATATATGTGTGAGCCATCAATCTATCAACACAAAAAACAGTACTCAATTTATGATTTTATCACCCAATCTTATGTAAGATTGGGATACAACTGATATCATTCACCCATAATATGATTGATAGAAGAAATGATGTGAAATTTGAGTTGGCAGTTTGCACAAAAGGTCTTTATATAAGCAATAGAAGATTGGGAAATGACTTCATATACCCCATAACAATGATAGATAAATTGATTGGTGTAATAATTAGCGTAAAGTTGGGTATCTTTAATGGGGAGATCCTCAACATTCTGTAGGAAGTTACTGAATGAAAATGGGCATGTTTCTTCGAATGAAAAAGGAATGTAAATAGGCACCTTTACAAGGGTTTACTTATCAAAAAAGAGGGAAAAAAATATATAAAAAAATGGTATCATGTACGTTTTTTGCTGCTTCTTAACGAACCCAATATGAGGATAGCACCCATAATAACTTATGATAGAAAAGTTCTGATAACTCCTTGGGGTTGGGCTGATTGATCTTGATCACCAAGGTGAAATCAACGTGGTTGCTGGAAGTTACATCTCTTCGATCTGTTTTCAAGTCACCCAACTTTGTGACTTTGTGGAGTCAGTCCATGGGAATCATGGGAAAAAGAAACATCAGATTCGAATAGTTTAGTTACTACCCTCTGGTAAACTAACATAACTATGGAAAATCACCATTTTTTTTCATGGGTAAATCCACTATTTCTATGGCCATTTTCAATAGCTATGTTAGTTTACCAGAGGGTAAGGCTCCATAGTTCTACCAGTTTTTTGTTGGGGTTGTACCAGAATTATCCATGTGTCACATTTGATTGGGTGTTTCATTAGCTGGTCTCCATATGTACTCTGTGACCCAGGGTCCGCAAACTCCCGCAAACACTTGTGCTTGAATCAGTATTCCTCATGAGACAATGATCATGATATTGTTAGTATATCCATATAATGATTAAATGATGGCTTGTCAGTACATGGTGGATTATATATTACATGATCCACACTAAATCCATATTTAATCCATGAGACAATGATCATGATTAAATGGTGCTTTGAATATGAAGATCCATATAATCCACCATGTACCCATTAAATTTATAATGCGGGATTAATATCGAATAATAGAATATATTGATTTGAATAGTAAATTATGATAAATTATGAATTACACCTCGATGGCTATATGGTGACCATACTACGAACTCATTTTGGATTTCTCTGATACTTTCGGGGTAAACCCCATTCCATCCACTGGTTAATCATTGGGTTCCCTACTATTGTTGCATGGCCATAAATTGCTGGCATACCAGGCATACCTCATTGACAGAGCCATTGTTTTCCCAATTGTCATGTGTTAGTTATATCTCTTTACATCCTCATTACATCCCTATGTTTGTTGATGAAGTCCAAAAAAATACACATGCTTAATGTTTGATGGTTGAATTCCCATCTATTCTATCTTTTTTGTTGCCGGTGTTTTTGCCGCTTCCCGCGTTATATCCAATTAAGATCCCAATAGAAGCCCTTTTTTCATCCCCATCACCATGATTTTTCATATGTTTTTCCAGAGTTTGTGGCTGCTAAATTCCCCATAATTCGCCCCAATACTCTGACACGGAGATGGGAGTCATCGAATCGACCCACGGTGCCACGTCTCAAAGCCGAAGTGACTGGCCACTCTGGGGAAAGGCACGTAGAAGTCCGGCTTCACGCCCAAAAACCGGGCAATCTTCGTGGAGTTCAGGGCTCCGTCGAAGACATTCACCTCCTGCAGCAGTTGAAAAATGTCGCCATTTCTAGCTGGTTACATGGTGAGCTAATACTATATATATACTAAACCATATACAGTAATCAAGAGTTAACGATTGTTAATCAATCATGACTAATATACCTTCTGATGAATTTCACACTTTATGAACTGGAAGCCATGGCCCATAGAAATGGATGATAAAGATGACGATTTATGTAGATATCAAAAATAGTCATTGTCCATAGCTACGGAGAATTACCAGAGGGTATATGTCGCAAAACATTAAGCCATGACAGAAAAACAAGAGATGGGGATGGGTCCAGCGGACCCAAAATGGATAGCAAGGGTCCACTGGTGGTGTTTTTTTACCCGGCCTGGTAAACGTTTACGGTTCGCGAACTGGAAAGATCCACCATTTTATAGCTGGGTAAATCCCAGCGAACTTTCTATGGCCATTTTCCAGTTCGCTATGTAACAAATTACCGGAGGGTTTTTGTGCAGTTCCAGCAAGTGAATATGTCCAACTACAAACTTCTGGGGTTAACTTGCCATGGTTGTACCCATTTTCATAGCCCAGGGAAAGTCACCATAAAAAACATCCCATTGTTGCTTGTATTAATCCTATTGATTTGTAAATCCCACTAGATAACCATGGTTTTATCTATAAAAATTAACCTGATTTTTCAGTTATAAGGTTTGATTAAAAAATTAACTATAACAATTCTCAAGATGATTAACTAGATAGTCATGTTTTATCCTATCAATTCTCAACCTTAATCCACTATAAACCAATCATATGCCCATTATAAAAGTCACCTCTGCACCCGTTGTGCAACGACCAGCGCCAGCTACACCCCGTCTCCAGCAACTGCTTAGGTGGCACCACGCAGCGAACCAACTTCTGATGCGACTCGAAGAGTTGTGCGGCTGCCTCCCGCCAGAAACCATCCAGATCTGTCAGAAATTCGTAAATGTCATACATATTTGCATAATTATATATATATATATAAGTACATACTGGGGAGGCTTTCTGCAGCGAAGTTCAGAAAAGTTTGAGGTTAGAATTGAAACACGGAGTTGGGGCAACTAGGGTGAACGTGAACCTTCGTCAATGGTTGATGCTGGTTCAAGCTTGCTTGTCATGATTTCTTTTTTGGTTGTGAAAGACACTTTTTGGGTGTGTCTGAAAATAGTGTACCCCTAAACCCAATGGTTTTGCTGATCATTATCCCTATTAAATGGCTATTTCATTGGGAATATACCCTATTTTCAGACAAACCCTTTTAGAGTTTTGCAACTTTGGGTGATGAGGTGGCCTCCATGTGTTGGGCCTTCCAGCCGGCCCCCTTGCCGACTCCGACTCCGCAACTTCCCAGCAGTCCAGAAGGAACATGGGCCACTACTTTTTGTCTACGATCTTTTTGTAGGTTGATATGTAATTATGTGTATGTATATATATATATAGATAGATAGATATAGATATAGATATAGATATATATATATATATGTATATATATATACATATACATATATATATATATATATATACACACAAGAATCTGGTCCATCCATGTCCCCGGGAGGTTTATGGCGCTTAACTCCAACCTCCACGGAGAGACTGTCCAAGCGATGTCCGCAGGACGACTGAACCGGCACGGGCGCATCAGCAAAGTTCCTGGGCGTTTTTGCTGGGACCCCAAGAAAATCAATGGTTAAGTAAGGAAGTGGTTAGTAAGTGCTTAGTAATTAATGGTTAATTTGCTGAGTAAGTGCTTAGGAAGTGGTTAAGTAAGTGCTTAGGAAGTGATTAGGAAGTGCTTATAACATGATATAACTGATTTCTATAATGTGTGTTAGGAACTGATTTTTTTGGGGGAAGTGATTGGGAAGTGGTTTGTAAGTGGTTGGGAAGTGGTTAGGAAGTGGTTAGGAAGTGGTTAGGATCATCCCACGAATCGTAAGTGGCTCGGAACCCTGGTGATCGTAAGTCCCCGATCCGTGGGTTATCCCACATATAAGTGGGCTATAACTTTGATTACTAACCAGTTACGAAGTGGGATGACCATTCCACAAACCATGGTTTAGAAGGGTGTTTCCACATTGAAATTGGGGTGTTTAACATTTGATGGGATTATTCTGCGGGAAACCAGAAACCAAGGAACTGGCTGGAAAACTAATCGGGACTCATTCACCCAGGTACTGTGGAATGAAGAAATCCCAATCACCAGTTGGTGGTTTATCCTATGATAATCCCATTGTTTACAGTGTTTCATGGTTACCTAATGGTTACCAACTGGTTTTTAGGATTTCGCAACCATCCACGGCATGATAGATTTTGGGATATTATATGCTATAGTAGGATAATAGGAACAACTATAAATCATTATACATCTACCATATTCTATTATGAACATCTCAGATTATGTTTAATGCAATAGTTCCTGGGATTGACTTTAATTTTCACACCGTGCTTCTTTTGGGTGTCTGGATCGAGGCCGATCTTTGATATCGGATAGGGGTGATGTGCAAACGGATGTTGAGGCTCCGAAGTTTGAGACAACCCCAGTCATAAACTATAAAAATGGTATTATGTTTGTCTATATCTATCTTGTTGGGTTACAATATATATATATATATTAATATGTATATATATATATTAATATATATATATATATATTAATATATATATATACACATATTAATATATATATACACATTAATATATATATATACATATCCGTACTAGTTGATGACCATCACCCAAGGACTGGACAGTTTACCCAAGAACTCCTTGGTCGGTAAAGCACCCGTCAAAAAATACCAAGGATGTTGAAGTTCTTACAAAATGAAACACCTCTGGCCCCCTATTGTAAGATCTAACAACTGATTTCATAATTTTCCTATGGTTTTCATTGGTTGAAACATGTTGAAACCTCATTTTTCCCATGGTTTTCCCATGGTTTTCATAGATCTTCATAGCCAATCAATGGCTGAGACGCTTGAGACGGCGAAGCGCCCACTGCTTGGAATCCCGCAGAGTTAGGATCACCTGCGGACTCGAGGATTTATCATTTGGTTATATCTACGTATATATATATATATATATTAGTAATACATATATGTGTGTGTTTTTACATATCTGTGTGTGTTTTGAGTGTGTATATATATATATATCTACTATGGGCCATAGTATAGTCATTTACATATATCTATCTATATATATATATATATATTTAAATATTAGTGTGTGTATTTATTTAGTAGTCATGTGCATAGAATATGTTTAGTATCACGTACCAACTGGTATTCATAAGTATATTAGTGATAGCATATTAGTGATGTACATGTCATAAAGGAGCAAATATATAAGTGTCCACAGTATGCCATATTATGACATTACATCGTCTAACATCGATATGTATATATACATATATAATCATATATATATATATATATCATAAATTATGCATTTATATGACATACATGGGAAATACGTATATACTACTCGTGGGAAAAATATGTGTAACATTGATATATGCATGGTATCTTGTATCAACATGGGGAAATCGAAAACAACCATTATTGGCTGGTAAAACTCCTCATGTGTCCTGCTAAGAAACCTATCGGTTTCCCTACAATATGGCCCCCCCAAGTTATGTTTGTTAGTTATAAACCCCATGAATACAAGTTCGTTCTAAGTATCATCAACCCAATCCTGAACTTGGACTTATACTTCACCAATCAACTTCACTTCAGTTTTTCACAAAACTAAGCAACAAAAGTAGTTTTTCCACAAAAAGTCAATTCCCAACATGGAATTTCAATGGAAGTCCCCATGAATCTTCCCTGAGATCACCACCGTCGCCTTCGAGCTGGGCGAAGCAGCAAAGAAGTCCAGGAAGAGTTCCGCCATGGGCGTGTCCAAAAAGACGTCGGAGCCTGGCCACGAAGTCACGAAGTCCCTTGAAATCTCTGACTCTCTCCCCGATGTTTCACCGGGGAAAACATGTAGGTTGATCTTTAATGGTAAACCTACTTATAATTTAAACATATTTAAACCATAGTTTAATGGGAAAGTATGAAGTTATCAAGATCCATAGTTTAATCTCAACCTACTTTCCCCATTAATGTAGGGTGATCTTTACCATCTGGTTATGACTAACAGACATTTAAAATCCCGTAAATAAATGGAGGTTTAGTTCGCTGGGAAACTCATCTATTTCTATGGGCCATGGCTTCCATGGCTATGTTAAATAACCAGAGGGTAATGGTAAACTATGGATATAGATCTTTAATGGGAAAGTATGAGGTTGGGATCAAAAAGATGGAGGTTTCCATAGTCATGGGGTACCCACATTTATGGATGGTTTATAATAGAAAATTCCAATCTAAAATGGATGATTTGGGGGTACCCCCATTTTAGGAAAGCTCCTATATAATGGTAAATTATGAATGAGAAATACTAAGAAATGAGATTAGAATGAGAATTAGTTCATGATAGTGATGAATGATAGTGGAAAATAACATGTTTCATAGGAGAAATAAAACATTGGAAAAAAAGGATTTATCTGTCATTATCTGTCATTTGTCATGATCTTCCAAAAAAAAAGTTCAGAGACCTTGAAGGAACATCACATGTGTTCATAGTTAAATCATGATACATCAACAATAAATGGGATGAATTATGAAAATGCATGTATCATAGTAAAGGCATTACTCATCATCAACAAATGGCGTTTTCATAGTTCAATCATCATCAATAAATGGGATGAATTCTGATGATTGATGAAAATGATGGAGGACTTAGCCTCCCAACATGGTATAAAAATAAAGATGATGATAGCCACAACTGGGATGTTGAACTTGGTTCTTGGTTGCTTGGTTCTACCGGGCTTGGCTTTAGGCGACGTTAACGTTCCAAAATGGATAGTTTAGCCAACAAACATGACGGAATGGATGTATTAACATGATTAACATCTTACCATGGTTAAAAAGAAGAAAAATGGGATCAGCCGCAATCTTCCCAGCCGAGCTCGTCTACGAGCAGCAACTAGTTTGATAAGTCTTGGATTTGAAGCAGCAAAATCGAGAGGTTTTTTATTGGTGCTCAAGAGAAACGAACAGTGGCCAGTGGCCACTGTGGAGACTGATGTTCGAGACGAATTCCGTTGGATCCATGCCAGTCTAGAAGTCGTGGGCAACGACCAAGGCCTTTGGGTTTCATGATGCGTTTGGCAGCCGAAGTGGTGTTAAACGTGGGAACTCCACGAACTCAATGGAGGTTTAGTTCGCTGGGAAATCGATGATACCCTCTGGTAAATTAACAGGAAAATCACCTGTTTAATGGGAAAACTCACTATGAATGGGAAATAATCTATACTGGTAAATTACAGTAACAGTTCGACCCTGATTTTTTTGCCTAGTTTTAATGGAAACTCATCGACCCTGACCCTGATGACTGCCAGGGTCGAACTGTGAATTTACCAGAGGGTATAATCTATAAATGACCTCCAAGTGTGTTCTCCCGAATGTCCTGATCATCTTGGGCTAAAAATTCATTGAATCTTTCAGAGTCAGTACAACCCTGGGGCCCTGGGTCGGGATAAATTTACCCCACTTTGCAGCAGTGGACCAAGCCTATCCACGGAAACCACGTGGTTTTTTTCAGACGAAAACTGGATAATCCAACGGATGCACCAAAGTAGATTGCTGTACCCTCTGGTAAACTAACATAGCTATGGAAAATCACCATTTTTCATGGGAAAATCCACTATAAATGGGCATGTTCAATAGCTATGTTAGTCATTACCAGAGGGTAAGATGCTGGTGCAGAAAACCAGCATACCCGGTAGTCCCTTCTGGCAGAAATTTCCGGCAGGAAAAAAACCCGCCTGTTTCATGCAAGAGCTCTGAAAAATTCACCTGGTTCAACTGATGTCTCTCACTGCAACTTGTGTTCCTGGGCGAATGGAAAGGCAGCCTGGGATCAGGCATGTCCAACCGCCAAAACACGGCTTTTTTGTTGGGCATGTTGGGGAGGTTCATTCCCAAAAGATGGACATGTTTCATGAGTAGTGTTCAAAACCTCTAGCGTCATGCCCTTTAATCCTGGTTATGAACAGGATTGCCAGTTCAGTCTCAACCATCACTGAAAATGGCCAAGCGTGTTACAACCCTAGCAAAGAAAAACGTTTATCTGGCTGATAAAGTATATACAGTATATATATATAATTTATAATAGATACATTAAAAAAACTGGAAAAAAATAGTTGCCGTAAATACATGTAAGCACCGTTAAGATCTATTCACTACTGATCCACAGGGGTACCTTCGGTGATGAAAATGAGGATTAACCGATTAACCACTGCATGGAGTGTGGATGGGGTACCCTAGTTTCAAACCAATGTGTTGCCTAAAGAAGACATCTCTGAATAAAAGGTCAATGAACCAATCTGAAAATGTTGCGAAAGCTGCGAGTCCCAGATCATCATGTCCCCTGCAGTGGCCATAAAATGGAATCAACCTAGCATGTTGACTTTGCGTTGCTTATGTCCCATTCTATCCGGCTTGTATCATTAAAACTACACTAAAATGAAAATCCCCATGAGATTCCGGTGTAGTGCCAAAACGACATTCAAAATAATTTACCACTACATTTCAGCAGAAAAAATCACTCAAGTCCATCTCTTTTGGGGTTTGTGCATACATATATACATATATATACATATATATATACATATACATATATACATATATACATATATACATATATACATATATACATATATACATATATACATATATACATATATACATATATACATATATATATACATATATACCTATATACATATACATACATATATACACATATACATATATACATACATACACATATATACATATATACATATATACATATATACATATATACATATATACATATATACATATATACATATATACATATATACATATATACATATATACATATATACATATATACATATATACATATATACATATACTGTATACATATACCGAATATAAACATAGAGTTTCATCTCGTTTCCCCCTTTTTCTCCAAGGTGAACCAACCATTTCCCATGGACGTTCCTCTTGTCGTCGCCCCTTCGGTTGAACCGAGCGACAGCCGGAGGTCGAGGTCGGACCACTTGGGCGAATCTAGAGGATCAAAGTGATGCACCTCGCCGGGTAAACCCCAGGGGAACCCCGGTGGTTTTCTCGAAGGGGAAACTTTGGTGAAAAAATCGCCTCAGATTGGGAAAACCTGAAAATTTGGGTGAAACATCTGGTGGAAATTCAGATGGTGTTTCCTTTTTTTCCGGAAATCCTCGATTTTTTTTCTCAAAAATCACAAGGGTTCCATCGGAAGATGGGGAAAATCACGAACATCGCCGAAAATCGATTGGGGAAAAAGCCTGAAAAATCTCCATCCGATGTTTTTCGGAAAATTGGAAACTCCCATATTGGGGATGGTTCTTAAATACCACAGCATCTTAAATGATGGAGTTCAAATCGAGCAAATCGAGGAGATGAGCAAGTGATATCTTGTTGGATATCTCAATAAAAGAGGGGACATCATGGAAAATATCATGCTGGTTGGTGGTTGAGCCACCCCTCTGAAAAATATCATGGGAATCTTTTCTCGGGAACAACGGGGGCGTTTTGTACCACGGGGGTCATCGGATCCCATGGATCCGGGTTTTTTGATCCGAGGGATCCAATTGGAAGATGGTCATCGAAAAAAGGGGAAAATCATCCAGGCAGTCATTTTAAGACTACCCTCTGGTGAACTAACATTTTGCAATGGAAAATGGCTATAGAAATAGTGGATTTTCCCAGCTAGAAAATGATGATTTTCCATAGCAAAATGTTAGTTCACCAGAGGGTATTATAGATATTCCAAGGGGAATGGTAATTGTCCATTCCCCTATTAATACTATTGTAATCTATATATATGAAAATCAACATGTTTAATAGATCCATACTGGGAATATGATATATCTGGTAATTTAGCTATTGAAAATTGCCATAGAAATAGCTGAATTACACATTAAAAATGTTGATTTTCCATAGCTATGTTAGTTTACCAGAGGATATTATTTTCAGATACCAACCTAAGGGAATATGATTTATCCTCTGGGGATATAACGGGAATATAACCATCAGAAACTGGAGATGATGGGCATATCATCAACAAACGTCTTGTGGGATGTGATGGGAGTATGATAATGATATGTATTGAGAAAATCTAATGAATCTATGTAATGACTAAGCACTGGAAGAAGCCAACAACAATGGGGGGTTAGCATCAAAAATGTTATTTTTTTTCCCAGAAAAATTGTGAGGACATGGTTCGATGTCAAGACGAGGTGGTGTTTATTTCACATGGCCCTAACTGGGATAATTGGGAAATATAATGAAATATATGCAAATATGGGGGAAATTGCAATGTATATTGATTTTACATGGATTTATGGAATATTGTAGAAATATATATATATATATGAAAATACCATAATTCTCGGGGCAATATGGGAATGAAAGCATGGAAGGAGGTGCGCCTCGGTCATGTTTGTGGTTGTTTCACCACACTTATACGGATTGTCCAATCATCGCCAAAAAAATCACCATGAAAATCCCGCCTGTTTCGCCCTATCAACCACCCATTTATCTTACTGGTGCTTAGTAGGGAATTTTCGGGAATGATCCACTATTATAATCCCAGCAACCCCCAGCAACCCATCCATTCCCTACGCAAAACGCACCAGTAAGTTATTCACATAGCTATTGAACATGACCATAGAAATAGTAGATGTTCCCAGCTATAAAATAGTGATTTTCCATAGTTTTTACCTATTATAGCCCATTTATAGATGATTTACCTATTAAAAATGGTGGATCTTTCCATAGTTTTTTGGTCATGTACAAACCAGGCCGGGTATTCACCCACATCGCAGCATATCGCAGCGCCTTGAGGCCCAGTTGACGCCCGAAGACAGCTAAGGAGCGCGTGGCGGTGCTACCTGGGCCACGTAACGAAACACCATCGTTAAATCGTCGCAGGTCCCAAGAAATCCTGATGAACATACAGAAAAATCCTGGGACATGGTGTTTTCGGATGATTTTTTTATGGCCATTTTTTGGACATCGAAATCAAGGGCAGGGCTCCTTGCAAGGGGGAAGGGGTCAAGTTAGACATGGGTTACACCAAGTTGAATATCCGATTTCCAATGAGTTGGTGAATTCAATATGATCAACATATTCATGCTTTGGTATGGAGCGAAGATAGGGATTTGATTGATGTCTTTGTCATTGGCAGACTTGGGAATGCAGTTGGGGTGGAAAACATGTCAGAAACGGATATGTCACAATAGTTGTAGGGGTTTAATCCCAACCTTCGGGTATTATAAACCATCCTTATACAGTCCCATCAATAACCTCAACTGCCAAGTAGGCAAAAATTGGATGATTCCTCTCCGGTAACATGGCGACGGAATATCTCCCATCTATCGATCAGTAAACCCCTGGGCTGCTCAACCAGGCTTCATGAATCCGGGCTTGTGGCCGCAAAAAAGTGATGGCAGCCATGGGTGAGGTCCAAAACCCGTTTAGCCTGGAAATCCACCTTTCAACCAGCTGAATGGTGATCCAAAAAGGCTTCAGTATATCTCCTCAATAAGCATCTTGCTAGGACGCACCATTCAACCACCAACACAATGGTGATGGTTGCACAAAACCGCTACACCGAGATCACCAGCCACAAACTCTCCGTTTCAGCCGTTGATTCCTCATCGTTCCTCATGGTTTTTCCCCCCCTCCTCCCACTGCGCCATGGCACCGAAGCCGGCGCCCAGCACCGGCGCTGCCTTCGCCTTGGTAGCCTTGGAGATACCACCGAAGCGGCGGCTCTGCAAGTGGTACCGGGGCAGCAGCGCCTGAACCTCCTCGACGTAGCTCGCAATGCCTCCGAAGCGTGGGCCCAGTGGGCCCCTGGGCCCCTGGTCACTGTGGATGATGAAGAATGATAGATTCTGAAAAAAAAATGATGATCATGTTGATGTTTGTTGATGTGTTTTTTCAAATGATGATGTTCATATGATCATTCTTCACTATATATGTGTTTTCTTCAAGAAATGAATGATTTATGATGATTTGATGATGACGTTGACCTCCAGTGTCATTAAACGCAATGGGGAATCCCTATGATGTTCCTCGCTATTAAACAGCCATTTAGTTCGTGGATGTTCCATGGCCGTTTTTGGAAACAACTGGTTTTGAGATGGGGGGGATCTAGATAGGTGTACTGGATGGATTTAGATTGTTGCATATGACTTTAGATGCGTTTAGATTGTTTAATATGATTTTAGATTGTTTAATATCAGTCTAGATTGTTTAATAGTGTTGTAGATGGTTTTGGAAATCACTATCATGGCGAAATGGGAAGATCTTCAATTCAAACATGGCAAATTTCAGAAGGGCTTCGAAAAAATCGGCTGATGGGAAGCGATCATGGCCTCACGCATCAATTTTTGATCTGCAGGAGATTTCCATCTTTTTGGGGGAGATGATCAGAAATGCTTTCAGAAATGGTTTCAGAAATGGTTATATAATGGTTGCATAATGGTTATACAATGGTTATATAATGGTTATATAATTGTTATACAATGGTTATATAATGGTTTTATAAATGGTTATATAATGGTTATATAATTTTTATACAATGGTTATATAATGGTTATATAATGGTTATATAATGGTTATATAATGGTTATATAATGGTTATATAAATGGTTATATAATGGTTATATAATAATGGTTATATTTATGGTTATATAATAATGGTTGATGTTAACCTTCATTATTAACCATTATTGTGAAATGGGAAAATCTGAAAGAATCACTGAAAATGGTGACATGACATGATTTTTTCTTGTGCATTGCTTTTTTTGAAATGGTATGGAATGGGATAACCATTTTACCATTCATGGTTATAAGTTATATATTTGTCATCCCCAGTGTATTGTTATGAAATGTTATGAATGAAAGATATAGGGATTTTCGAGTTTTCAAACCAGCCAAATTTACTAGTGACTCGTGTTTAACAGCTTGCGTGCCACAACCAAATCCTCTGGGTGGGTTTTCAACCTTGGAATGTTCTCTCGCTAGAATGTTGTATGTCAGGAGTAAGCTTGCACCTGGCACCTTTGTACCCTAAACTTCGTCCTTGACCTACTAAATTAGTTAATGAACTTGGACACCACCTTGCGTGCCGGTGATGTCCCACAGCATATTCCCAGCATAAGATCATACATGTTATATAATACACCAATATTATATCACTATTGTTTACTATCATAAGATTATCACCAATATTACCATGATATTATACAAATTATACATGTCTCATCCCATCATATCCGTCTCCAAGACACACTGCTGCTGCTCTGTGGAAAATCCGCTCACGTCATCCACGTTCGCGTCGTTTTGCTCGTCAGATCCAAGGCCGTCCGGCGAAGCCCCCTTGGACGAATCGAAACGCGTCTGTACGAGGCAAGAGCTCTGGCCTCGGTACAACTAGGGCAGCTAGGTTGACTACGACTGGTGGATCATCCCACCAAGTAATGTTTGTGGGTTATAAAAAACCCCAGTGAAATAAGTGGATTAACATGGATTAACTCTACTTATCCTATTTATAACTGGGGTTTCTGGTCCTTTGCCGGGTTTATTTCCACCAACTTCTAACTGGACCCACCTTATATGGGGGTGCAGTTCCTCTTCGTGGGTGTAAAACGCGCCTGTTAATGGGGGTTCTGTCTCAACTAGGTTATAACATGTTGTAACCATGGTTTATACCCTGAAAAAGAACCACAACTGGTTTCAAGATGTTTCAATGGCGACCCCAAGACACGGCAGCCGATTTCCACACTGCATCACTGCATCAGTTCAATCTTGTGGGTGCTGCAAAAACAGGCAGTACTTGAGGCTGCGGTTCTACCTTTGTGGGTACATAACCATAGTTGTAGAAGTATAAAAGTTATATCCCAACTTAAAAGTTATACTGTATCCAGTTGTATAATGTTAGAGATAGTTGTAGAAGTATAACAGCTATATCCCAACTTAAACGGTCTATCCCAACTTACCGTGATCAAAAACACGTCCTTTTTGCTGTCAACGTCAATCAAAGCTCAGCCGGGCAATCCAGTCTGGTGGGTATGTTTTTTTGTCAACGTGTTTTTCGGCTGAATGTATCCCGAACTGGGATACATCCACAGAAGAAAATGACTTGTGAAGATAATATTGGGATGTATAATAGTAATATATCATGTTATATCATAGTGATATCATAGTGATATAATAGTAAAACAATATTTAATGAAAATAGTTGTATATCATGTTTAGTTGGGATGTATAATATTTGTTCATAAATAAATAATGATAATAGTAATCATACTAGTAACTAATATGAAATTATTAACAATAAGTGATAATAATGATAATAATGATAATAATGATACTAATGATACTAATGATACTAATGATAATTACTAGTGTAAGTTTGTAAGTTTTCATCCACATGTTTGCATATAGTAATAATAATGACTGTGATAATAATTGGTAAGAAATATAATAACAATAATATCAAAATAAAATATAGAACTTATAACGAAATAGAATGTTCATGTATAATCATAACTAATTATGTATATATATATATATACTTGTATATACATTATCAGGGTGTTCAGCCAATGTGATGTACATGGCCACTTATTAACCACTGAACACTCGGTTCAGCACTGCTCGCCATCACAGTCGCAGAAAGGTGATCCAAATCTGCCATGCAACTTTGGCTGGTTGCTAGCGAAGAGGTGGCGAAAATAAGGAAGGTAAATAGGGTCCCCATGGCAGCCATGGCATAAGAACCCGGCGGTGAGGAAAAGGGCAAGATAGGAGCCGTATGGCTGCGAATCCAGGGCCCCTACGACACTTTTGAGTTGGACATCGCCTGGATCATCATTGGCACGTTTGAAACTCCCCGATCCAAAAAAAAACCTGGGAAAGCCTGGGAAAGCCTGCCATAAACCAACCATGACTGGGGGCATAGCCATAAAAATGATGGCTGGGGGAGGTCAGCTAAACACCACCAAAAAAATCACTGGCTCCACTTCCACTCAGATGGACGCCTGGAGTTCCGGCTTCAGATCCTCCAAAATCTGCTTTTTCAACTCCTGAAAACAGCGCCAGCAAAGCTCGCTTTGAGCTCGCAAAAATTTTTGAAGTTGAGATCGGTCAGCCATGTTTTTGAAGTAAATCATGGCTATACTCGTTGTTATACCATGTTATTAATACCCATTCTAGTCAGCTGAAGGGACCTGAATGCTGACGGTTCTTTGGACAAAAAATGGTCACTAATTTTCGCGGAATTTGTCTGCAAGACCAGGCGAAGTGTCTCAAAGAAACTAGGGTGGCAACATTGTTATGTAAAAAACACAGTGCTCAAAGGTGAAAAATATATGAAAATCTGAAGTTTCGCCGGGGGTCGGCCTGGTGGCAAATGGAAATAACTTGTACAAATTGGGTCTCTACGGATCCTGTGGGTGAAAAATCAACATGTTTTTTGAGGCAAAAAGGCCTCACTCCAGTTGCCTCGCCCTTCACAGACTAGTGTAGCCGGTTGGTGGCAAAAATGGGTACCCTCCAGTGTCATCAAAATCATCAAACATGGCTAGCTGGCCAATTCCCGAACGAAATGGACATTTAGAACTATTCAAATTAAAAAATCATCCAGAGATCATAGATCCCCATTAACTATAGTTATATCTACCATAAACCATTGTTAAGCCACTTATAAACCAACAGATCATAGATTTTCCAGCCATGTTTTTAGGTCTTACAACGGCAATGGAATGGTCCACAAAAAAACAACGAGCGCAGTATTTCCGGTGTTTTATCAATGATACCCATGAAATCCTGAGGGATCGATTTATCATGTTCCATAATTTATACAGTACCCTCTGGTAATTTAACATAACTATGGAAAATCACCATTTTTAATGGGAAAACTCACTATAAATGGCCATTTTCAATAGCTATGTTAAATTACCAGAGGGTAATTTAGACAGTAGCCGTACCCTCTGGTAAACTCACAGTTTGCTATCGAAAATTGCCGATTGAGTTCGTTGATTTACCGAACTGAAAATCGTGATTTTCCAGTTCGCGAACTGTCAGTTTACCAGAGGGTAAATCAAGGGAGCGACCCATATTCAAACACCCAAACATCACATTGCTGGTCAATTATATCCCACTCATGTCCCCATGGTATAACCCATATATATATATTATGATAATTTGGCCAACCCAGGATACAACCAACCGAACTACTGATGTTGATCAAAAGATCGCTTTTTGGCTATGGGAACTGTTTTCTGAGGCCTCCTTGGAGGAATTTGGAATGAAAAATGAATTCATCCACGAAGTTTTCACCATGGCTTTTGTATTCAGTGTAGTCTCTTCAAAAATGGACCGTTCAAAGGTTGCAACACTTTGAAAGCCATGGTGACTTGGGGATCCCCCATTTCGAAGAATACTCTGCTTCAAAAGCCATTGGTTACTCGGTGACTCGGTAACCTATCTCTCAACAAAACCGCATCCACTTGGCTGTTCACTTCGCTAACCTACTCATCAACCAACAGTGCTGTCGAACGCGGCCACTCATTCTTGGTGTTCATTATAGTTAGATGTATGAGCCTATATATATATCATACACACTATACACATCTATACACACTATACACACATATGTACTATGTGTATCTATGTGTCATAATCACCATTCAAACATTACCGTAAACCCCGTTGTGTCCTCACGCAGCTGTTGCAGATCCACAGCACGCTGCTGCTCCAAGCGCAACAACCTGCGCAAATTGAAGGAGTTTAATGGTTGTTTAATGGTTGTTTAATCATGTTTAATGGTTGTTTAATTGTGTTTAATGGAGTTTAATGGTTGTTTAATCATGTTTAATGGTTGTTTAATGGTTGTTTAATGGTTGTTTAATCATGTTTAATGGTTGTTTAATGGCTGTTTAACGGTTGTTTAATGGTTGTTTCATGGTGTTTAATGGCTGTTTAATGGTTGTTTAATCATGTTTAATGGTTGTTTAATGGTTGTTTAATCATGTTTAATGGTTGTTTAATGGTTGTTTAATGGTTGTTTAATGGTTGTTTAATGGTTGTTTAATGGAGTTCAATGGTGCTTAATGGAGTTTAATGGTTGCTTAATGGTGTTTAATTGTTTTTTAATGGTGTTTAATGGTTGTTTAATTGTGTTTAATGGAGTTTAATGGCTGTTTAATGGTTGTTTAATCATGTTTAATGGTTGTTTAATGGTTGTTTAATGGTGTTTAATGGAGTTCAATGGTGTTTAATGGTGCTTAATGGCTGCTTAATGGTTGTTTAATCATGTTTAATGGTTGTTTAATGGTGTTTAATGGCTGTTTAATGGTTGTTTAATGGTGTTTAATGGTGTTTAATGGTTGTTTAATGGTTGTTTAATCATGTTTAATGGTTGTTTAATGGTGTTTAATGGAGTTCAATGGTGTTTAATGGAGTTTAATGGTTGTTTAATGGTTGTTGAATCATGTTTAATGGTTGTTTAATGGTGTTTAATGGGGTTTAATTGTGTTTAATGGCTGTTTAATGGTAGTTTAATCATGTGTAATGGTTGTTTAATGGTTGTTTAATGGTGTTTAATGGTTGTTTAATGGTGTTTAATGGAGTTTAATGGTGTTTAATGGTTGTTTAATGGAGTTTAATGGTGTTTAATTGTTTTTTAATGGTTGTTTAATGGTGTTTAATCGTTGCTTAATGGTGTTTAATGGAGTTTAATGGTGTTTAATTGTTTTTTAATGGTGTTTAATGGTTGTTTAATTGTGTTTAATGGTGTTTAATGGTGTTTAATGGTTGTTCAATGGTGTTTAATGGAGGTTAATGGTGTTTAATGGTGTTTAATGGAGTTTAATGGTGTTTAATGGAGTTTAATGGTGTTTAATGGTTGTTTAATGGTTGTTTAATTGTGTTTAATGGAGTTTAATGGTTGTTTAATGGTGTTTCATGGAGTTTAATTTAATGGTGTTTAATTGGTGTTTAATGGTGTTTAATGGAGTTTAATGGTGATTAATGGTTGTTTAATGGTGTTTAATGGTTGCTTAATGATTGTTTAATGGGATTATGGAATATAATAAGATTAGAACCACCAATCATAGGGACAGTTGGGATGTAAAATCAATGTCGCTACTCAACCAAACATTTGATATGTGGGTAGTTTCTCTTGTAGCAACGAAAGTAAATGCCTACTTATTGAATGATGACAAATTACTTCTCTATCTTTTTGAAGGTTGCTGCAATAGAAATCCACCATAAACTTGTGGATCCTGTGGGTCTATGACCAGCAATAAAATGTAACCGTTTGTAATTTGTGCTTCAATCCTCATTCGCTGACATTACCAACTCCTGCAGGAAATTAGCAGATACATATAAAATTTCACCAGGATTTGTTCGATCGTTTCTAGGGGATCCGAACCATGGGCGTTGTTCTGTATCTATGTTGGTTCGCTATAGAGGGTGACCCACACGAATTGTGATTTAACTTACACAAATTGGGTATGAACAAGTTTGATCATCAATGGAGTGGTTTCAAGTTTTAAGAAAACTAGCAAAACTAGCTGGCAGAGGATCCAAAAAAAAATGTCCATGCCATGATTGACTTATCTTTGTTTGGAAAAATCGGAGAAGATTTGAATGAAATTTAAAGGGGAAGGTTTTTGGAAGCCGACCCTCCAAACATACCAAAAAAATGGAAAACCCATGGGTTTTCTCAAGGCGAATGATCTACATCTCTAGTGGGTTTTGCATGTCTATGCTTATTTACTGACATGTAGTTGTCATAAACATCAAAAAATGATGCAACCAAACGGCATGGCCGATAACAAATTGTCCCATTGGAAACAACCGTGTTTGGTAAAGTTGTCATTTACTATGCAATTTGATGCGTATCCAAGTCGGATACATAACATATCGATGTGGCACTTGTATGTGTATAATATACTGAATACATGTTTATATACATGTGAAAAAGATGTTTATAAATAGATCTATATACAATCATAAGAATGATGCGTGCATACATGTCTACGATATACATGTCAAAGATGTTTATAAATAGATATATATATATATATTCATAATAATGATGCGGAATTCAACATCACAGCAGAAATACACACCGCGCACAGTTCCTCATAAAAACGATCCATTTGGATGGATTTTCAATGTATAGTAACACCAAAAAATGTCGAGAAAAACAAACATGCACGTGTTTAAAACGAAACCCATGGTAATAGGATTTAAAAAAAAAAACATGTAAATCCATGTAATGTATAGAATTCCCTGGGTTTGTCTGAAAATATGGTACCCCCAAATAATGCATAGACACCCATGATAATTATAAACCATCCCCCAGTCAGCCCAGTCATCACCATTATTATAAGTGCTATGTTTACCATTTCCAGTCATGGGTGGTTTATGACATTGTTTTACCCACATTAATGGTACCATCTGGTTATACATCACCATTTTTAATAGGTAAAGCATCTATAAATGGGCCATCTATACCATGGCTATGTTAAATAACCAGAGGGTAATCATATATTATATGGAAAAATTGGGATGATTATTCCCAACTGAATGGAAAGTCATAATCCATGCATGTTCCAAACCACCAACCAGTAGATCTACCATTAAATCACTGTAGATTACCATAAATCACTATAAATTACCCACATTCATGGTCATTGAATATCATGTTCCATTCGTTTCCTTCAGCGGATTTGGGTGACAACCCACATTAATGCGCCTGGATGAAAAGGACTCAGCCTGCAGCCGAAGAAAGATTGGGAGCCGCTGCCATTTTTCAGGGAAAACCCTAACTGGTTGGTGGTTGAGCCACCCCTCTGAAAAATATGAGGTCGTCAGTTGGGATGATTCTTCCCAATATATGGAAAAAAAATGTTCCAAACCACCAAACAGAAGGGAAAAGCTTTCGAAACCCCTGAACAAATCCCTGAATATAATGCTGAAAACCCCATGAACAACGGGAAAAAAATTCGGGGCATGTTTTCACGCCTATATATATATACATGGTACATCTAGAGCAAAATTGGGATTTGATGTGCCCAAAACGTTGTTTGATTTACCCACAACCAACATATCTTTAAAGGATCCCCTATGAATTCATAGAGGGATGACCATTTTCCCATGGAAATTTTCACCCATGTAGCTTGACCATGGCACATATCATTGCCCTTTTTGAAGCTGTTCATGCTTTGTTTAACAAAACCCCAGTTGTTCGCCCATTCCAAGTAACACAATCAGAGAATATATATATGGCAGTGTGTCAAAACCTTGTACCCCTGTAGTTCACATCAAAATAGCTGGTTTTTATGGATGTTCATCCCCCTAAAAATGCTATTAATAGGTATTTTTATCCATACCCATGTATATATATACTTGGTCAGAAAACACAGTTCCTTTTTTCGCAGCGATATATTTGACGCCTTAGGCTATAAATAGGCTTTGTTGGGTTTTCCGGTTCAATGGTGAGTCATCCAACGCCCAGCAACTGGTTGCTAACACCCTGATTTTTGTACCCGGCCTAAACCATGGGAAAACCCATAGGAAAATGGTAATTTAATGGGATTTAATGGGATTTAATGGGATTTAACGGGATTTAATGGGATTTAATGGGATTTAATGGGATTTAATGGGATTTAATTGGATTTAATGGGATTTAATGGGATTTAATGGCACTTACCCTCTGGTAAACTGTTACATAACGAACTGGAAAATCACCATCTCTAGTGGGAAAACTCACTATTTCGACTGGGCCATTTTCCAGTTAGCAAACTGTAAGAAATTACCAGAGGGTAAGTCCTCCAACAAGGCTTATCCCAGTTATAAATGGGTTATAATCGTCATCCTCCAAGTTACCCTCTGGTAACTGTTACATCATTAGCTATTGAAGCCATGGCCATTTAATTTATTTCTAGTTGATCTACCTAGTAATAATGGCCATAGAAATGGTTGATCTACCTCGTAAAAATGGTGATTTTCCATAGTTATGTAACAGTTTAGAGGGTAAAATATGGAATAAAACTCTTACATAACGAAAATTACCCAGGGTTAAAAAAATCCTGTCACATATATATATATATATATATCCATAGATATCATGTACCCTGATCCACAGTGATTTTCCGTAGAAAAATTGCCTTAACTCGGGCCCCTGAAATCTCGGCAGATCACTCGGCACCTCGAACGGTGGATGCGCCGAGTGCGCTCGTCCGCGACTTCGATGGCCGGATCCTGAAGACGTCAGCAAGACGTGGCCGCTGGGTCATCGTAAGTCCCCATAAAAAGTGAATTAAACCATAGGAAAAGGGGGGGTTAATGTGATTTAATGGGATTTCATGGCACTTACCCTCTGGTAAACTGACATAGCTATGGAAAATCACTATTTTTAATGGGTAAATCCACTATTTCTATGGTGATTTTCAATAGCTATGTTAGTTTACCAGATGGTATTCCATAAAAAGATATACTGGTGCTTAGCAGGGAATGGATGGGAATGGGGGAATGGGATGATTGTTACTAGTGATTACTTGTTATATATCTAATCCCAATCTGGTTGGTGGTTTCAACCCATCTGAAAAATATTAGTCAATGGGAAGGATTATCCCATATATATTATGGAAAATAAAAAATGTTTCAAACCACCAAACAGGATATAAAAAATGGGAAAACCGGGGACATGTCAAGTCTACCATTTGATGAAACCCTGGTTATTGGGTCGGACCATGCCAGTTGGTCGGCCGACTTCCAGAATATGCTATATCAAATCCCTTCTAACTTGTTGGTTTAAAGAAACTTCCCAGTTGGTTAAACCATGTTCCACTATGTTTAAAACAAAAGTCAATCTTTGTTGGTGAGATGTCCGTGTCTTCATCGGTTCAACCCCGGTTTTTGTTATAGCTTAGTCCAGTCAAAAACCTTTCACAAAAATGGATGTGGGTCAAAACCAATAGTACCCCTGTAGTTCACATCAAAATAGCTGGTTTTTATGGATGTTCATCCCCCTAAAAATGGTATTAATAGGTATTTTTATCCATACCTAAATCAGAAAAAAACCTACCATTTGATGGGGCGGAGGGGGCACCTGTTTTTTATCCCTGAATTTTGTTACCTCGGGATGACCTCCCTCATCCGCCGTGCCCAGGGCTTCGAAGTTATGTGTTTTTTTTCAGATACCCTCTGGTTATGACTAACATAGCCATGGTTTTTCGATGGCCCATAGAAATAGATGCTTTACCTATTATAGATGGTGATTTTCCGTGGCTATGTTAGTCATAACCAGATGGTAACAATATGTGTTTTAATGTGTTGTATGTAGTTTGGTGGAATGAATCCATAAACACACTCACGTTGGCGAATCCATACCATTCCATAGCATCATAAATCCAGGTTTAAGAACATTTAAGAACTCTTTTGTTCCCTTGGGAACTCCAATTAGTAAGGTTTAGAACGAACCATAAATCCAATCGTGAAAAATAAACATATCGCTCAGCGAAAGAGGGTCATTCCCCCTCAACACAGGCAAAATATCAAAAATAGGATCGATTCATGAATGGCAGTATGAATCATATCATATTATATATATATGTGTGTATATGTATATATATCCGCCGACCCCAGCCATCTGCAGGGGGAGCGCGCCCGAGGAAAATTGGCGTTAAGCACGAAGCAACGTTAGGCAGCCGCTTGGCTTGACACTGGCTCAGAACTTTTCTAGTGGCTTCAGAAAGCGACGTTAGGCAGTAGCCTGCCTTCAAACGCTCCGCAGCGCCCTTGCCGGCGCTTTTGGCAACTTTCCGGACGTCTGTGGCCATCTGTCGGAGGCTTGTCCTGTAGTTTTCTAGTGGCTTCAGAAAGCGACGTTAGGCAGTAGCCTGGCTTCAAACCCTCCGCAGCGCCTTTGGGGGCTTGTCCACTAGTTTTCTAGTGGCTTCAGAAAGCGACGTTAGGCAGTAGCCTGGCTTCAAACCCTCCGCAGCCTTTGGGGGCTTGTCCACTAGTTTTCTAGTGGCTTCGGAAAGCGACGTTAGGCAGTAGCCTGCCTTCAAACGCTCCGCAGCGCCCTTGCCAGCGCTTTTGGCAACTTTCCGGACGTCTGTGGCCATCTGTCGGGGGCTTGTCCAGTAGTTTTCTCGTGGCTTCAGAAAGCGACGTTAGGCAGTAGCCTGGCTTCAAACCCTCCGCAGCGCCTTTGGGGGCTTGTCCACTAGTTTTCTAGTGGCTTCAGAAAGCGACGTTAGGCAGTAGCCTGGCTTCAAACCCTCCGCAGCGCCTTGGGGGGGCTTGTCCACTAGTTGACGTTAGGCAGTAGCCTGCCTTCAAACGCTCCGCAGCCCCCTTGCCGGCGCTTTTGGCAACTTTCCGGACGTCTGTGGCCATCTGTCGGAGGCTTGTCCTGTAGTTTTCTAGTGTCTTCAGAAAGCGACTATTAGGCAGTAGCCTGGCTTCAAACCCTCCGCAGCGCCCTTGGGGGCTTGTCCACTAGTTTTCTAGTGGCTTCAGAAAGCGACGTTAGGCAGTAACCTGCCTTCAAACGCTCCGCAGCGCCCTTGCCGGCGCTTTTGGCAACTTTCCGGACGTCTGTGGCCATCTGTCGGGGGCTTGTCCAGTAGTTTTCTCGTGGCTTCAGAAAGCGACGTTAGGCAGTAGCCTGGCTTCAAACCCTCCGCAGCGCCTTTGGGGGCTTGTCCACTAGTTTTCTAGTGGCTTCAGAAAGCGACGTTAGGCAGTAGCCTGCCTTCAAACGCTCCACAGCGCCCTCGCCGGCGCTTTTGGCAGCTTTCCGGACGACTTTGGCCATCTGTCTGGGGCTTGTCCAGTAGGTTTCGAATGGCTTCAGAAAGCGACATTAGGCAGTAGCCTGCCTTCAAACCCTCCGCAGCGCCTTTGGGGGCTTGTCCACTAGTTTTCTAGTGGCTTCAGAAAGCGACGTTAGGCAGTAGCCTGCCTTCAAACGCTCCGCAGCGCCCTCGCCGGCGCTTTTGGCAACTTTCCGGACGTCTGTGGCCATCTGTCGGAGGCTTGTCCGTAGTTTTCTAGTGGCTTCAGAAAGCGACGTTAGGCAGTAGCCTGGCTTCAAACCCTCCGCAGCGCCTTTGGGGGCTTGTCCACTAGTTTTCTAGTGGCTTCAGCAAGCGACGTTATAGCCTGCCTTCAAACGCTCCACAGCGCCCTTGCCGGCGCTTTTGGCAACTTTCCGGGCGTCTGCGGCCATCTGTCGGAGGCTTGTCCAGTAGTTTTCTAGTGGCTTCAGAAAGCGACGTTAGGCAGTAGCCTGGCTTCAAACCCTCCGCAGCGCCTTTGGGGGCTTGTCCACTAGTTTTCTAGTGGCTTCGGAAAGCGACGTTAGGCAGTAGCCTGCCTTCAAACACTCCGCAGCGCCCTCACGGGCGCTTTTGGCAACTTTCCGGACGTCTGTGGCCATCTGTCGGAGGCTTGTCCGTAGTCTTCTAGTGGCTTCAGAAAGCGACGTTAGGCAGTAGCCTGGCTTCAAACCATCCGCAGCGCCTTTGGGGGCTTGTCCACTAGTTTTCTAGTGGCTTCGGAAAGCGACGTTAGGCAGTAGCTTGCCTTCAAACGCTCCACAGCGCCCTTGCCGGCGCTTTTGGCAACTTTCCGGACGTTTGTGGCCATCTGTCGGAGGCTTGTCCAGTAGTTTTCTCGTGGCTTCGGAAAGCGACGTTAGGCAGTAGCCTGGCTTCAAACCCTCCGCAGCGCCTTTGGGGGTTTGTCGCAGTAGTAGTTTTCTGGTGGCTTCAGAAAGCGACGTTAGGCAGTAGCCTACCTTCAAACCAGGGTGGCATCCTGGTGTTTTTCGGCAGCCCTTAAATAATTATATATTAGCATACAGTAGCAATTATTGGCCATATCATCCACATTTAGAATGTATGGTTTTTCACCATCCTTATCACCATGAAAACGATGGGATTCAACATCCTACTTTCATGGAAATATGTGTAGAATATCAACAAACCACCACTTTTAAAATCTTAGAAAATCAGAAGATGATTTGATGGAAATTTGAGATCAGCAATATCAGCAATATGGTTATGGGTCAAACCCGTGTCACCCGGATGGTACCATCAAATAGCTAGTAATTATAGTATAACAGTATAGCTGGTTGTTTATTCCCTAAATATCGTAAGTTCATAGGTAACTCGACCCATCACCAAGATGAAAAACATACCAAAATCCTCCGGGGCCATCCCTGGGGCCTGGACCGCCGGTCTCGGCGGTCTCGGCGAAGACGCTGGCACCTGCCAGGTTTTTCTTTGCGCGGAAGATTGGGGGATGGAAAACCACAAGTACTGGGAAATTCATCTACGAATCAAAGGAAGTTTAGCAAGAAAACTTCCGAGTTAGGGACGATGGTCATGGTTAACATCCCCACCATCATGTCAACCGAGCTCTCGCTACAGTCCTGTGCGCAGAAACAGAGACCCTACTTCGGCGCCCACAGGAGCTGCTTCCGAACTCTTACGCTTCCCAACAATTTGATGATGAGCGGTTTGCACTTCAAAACGTTAAAAAACTGACGGTCTCGGAGCATTTTTGGAAGATGAAGCTGGCAAAATGCGCATGAGACTGTAGCAAGAGTTCGATTTGCACTTCAGAATTGCAAAAAACTGAGGGGATCGGAGCACTTTTGGAGGATGAGGTTGGCAAAAATCATTGATTCGTAGGTTCCTTGGTTCATTGATTCGGTGATTCAGTGGTTCATTGACTCACTGAATCGTTAATTCACTGGTTCATTGATTGTTTGAATCGTTGCACCATTGGTTCATTGATTCATTGATTTGTTGATTCACTGATTCATTGTTTCATTGAATGGTTGAATCATTGGTTCATGGATTCTGTGAATTCATTGATTGATAGGTCAATGTTTCATTGACTCACTGATTCATTGAATCATAGATGAAACATTGCTGATTTATTGATCCATTGAACCTTCGAATCATTGACTCATTAACTCATTGCTTGACTGATTCAGTGATTCACTGGTTCATTCATTCGTTGATTCATTGGCTCACTGAATCGTTCAATCATTGATTCATTGAGTCACTGTTTCGTTGATTCACTGGTTAATTGATTCTTTGAGTCGTTGCAGGACTGATCTATTGATTCATTGATTTGTCGATTCACCGTTTCATTGACTCAATTGTTGAATTAGTGGTTCATTGATTCCGTGATTCACTAATTCATTGATTTGTTGATTTGTTGATTCATTGATCCACTGATTCATTGATTCGTTGAATCCTTGATTCATTGCTTCATTCAGTGAGCTGTGCATGGATTCTGTCATTTTATTGTCATCTCAACGACCATTTGCTCATTTGTTAATACACCTCACAACTTCGACAATTCCTATATATATATACATATATTCCTATGGTCATGGATAATCACCCATTTATAGATGATTTTCCCTTTAAAAACCTCCATTCATTGGGGAATTCATGGTTTCTGCATCGCAAAGACTTTCCCATAGGCCATTGATTTCTTATGGCCATTTCATTGTTTCGAAATTTCCGTCCCGGCGCAGGCCGGGCACTAGTAACTCGATAAAAAAAATCAGAAAGATCCAGCGATTGGAGATTGTGGTGTGAGATTTTACATTGGCCCATAAAAACTTTGAAATCATGGGCTAAAGATCGCTGATGAGACCTTGGTTTCAATCTTGTTCATCCCTTTTTTCCCTAATTGAGGATCCAAATATCTAACATCTATGTTTGATCAACGTTCTTTCCAAAACGAAATTGTTTGCATGGGATATGTTTGATCAAAATGGGAGATCTCCAACCCCCCCCAACATGGCAAAGCCAACTAGCTGGTCGCCTGAAAATCTGACCAAAAAGCGCGAAAAATTAGCCAATTTCCTCTGGATTGGTCTAAGGGATTTTGGTTCCCATGGTTTCCCCGGGACTTTTGATGGTAAGCCAATCCCATGGTTTCCGGTGAAGATTTTCCCGAAACCAATCCATTGATCCAAGTGCAGAAAAATTGGATGAGTAGGTCTAGGTACACGACCTAGATTTTTTTGGGTACCAACAAAAAAGCCACATACTCCACATCCTCAAACATCCTCAAGATGTCCTGGAAGGCCAGTTATACCAAGCAACCATGAATCTAGTGAATGTGACGTGAATCCGGTAGCAATGCCAGTGGATAGGGATTCCTGATTCCCACACGATTCCCGGATTCATGATCTCGGCATCGGATTGCAACTTGCAACAGTCATGTCAACCCCGGACTGAAAAAGAAAATGGTTGATTCATGCAGGGTAGAAATGTCAGACCCACATTTTTGGATGGTTTATCATCATTTTCCCCATGAAAAATAAGGGACATTTTGTTTAGGCATCCGCAAGCTTTCAGACGCACACATGGATTCACATGGATTCACCATTCCACCTTGCTGATCGGATTCACCATATCACAAAATGGTGAAGTCATCAAGCCATCCATAGTCTTAAGTAGTTCGTACAAGGTGGTGCCCCCATAGTTATAAGTTGGTTTATAATCCCATTAACTATAGATATAACCCCCATAAACCCTAGTTATTGGACTTATAAACCAACTTAGCTAACTATGGGGCACCACCTTGTACCAGTAGTCACTGAAACTTAAAGTGATAGATACTGATCCAAAAGTTACTCAATGATGATATACATGGGAGTGATTCACAGACTTGTAGAATATGAATCATATTGTCACCTGCAAATTCTGGACACCTCCCCAACATTTTGTGACAATCCAGTTCAATGTCTAATGTCCATAGTCAAAAGCGGTTGTATAAAACCCATCTTTCAATGGATTGGTTTTCACGGGAAATTTTCACCAGGAAAGCCCCAAAAAAGATTGGTTTAAGGGAAATTTTCACCAGGAAAGCCCCAAAAAATCTTGGTTTAAGGGAAATTTTCACCAGGAAAGCCCTTTTTCTAATCCCATAGATTTTCTGTGGGAAAATCCCATGGTTTCCCACCAATCCATTGAATCTGTCAGATTCCGAGGTAGGTGAGTTCCATGTTGAATCCTACCAGGGGGTCGTCCTGCTTGTGGCTGATGCCTGACCTCTATATTGTGTATCCAATGGGATGATGATGAGATTATGATGGTATGGAATGGTATGGATTCGCCAACGTGAGTGTGTTTATGGATTCATTCCACCAAACTATATACAACACATTAAAACACATTTTGTTACCCTCTGGTTCTGACATTCACAGTTTGCGGAAAATCCACCCATTAGTTCGGTAAACCATCTATTTCTATGGGCCATTGTCCATGGCTATGTTAAATAACCAGATGGTAACTACCAAAAAAAGAAACGATCTAAGTTAATTCCAATCAAAAATTAGTGGTGATATATTCTTTTTTCGCTGGAGGGTGAATTATATAGCATGTAGCCAACCTGAAGTAGATAGACTGGGCCTCAATTCCAATTTTTCGGATAAACTTTTGGGGTGATCCCAGTCCCCCACTGAAATCTTGACATGGGTACAATGTGGTGCCACCCAATGTTCTTTGTTGGTTTAGTTTCATCCCCTAAAACTGTAGTTCTACCAACTTAACCACGGTGACATATGAGATCTTTCAACCATCAGTGGATTAGGCTCTATATCTCTAAATGAATGACTATATATATATGTATAGTATGTACATATATCCATATACATACATATATATATATATACACAGTACATATATATATATATCTACAGTACATATATATATATACAGTACATATATATATATATATATATGTATATACAGTACATGTATATATATACATATATATATATAAAACCTATCCAGCTGGGATCCCCCATGACTATGGAACCGGCACCATCCGTACCTTCTGAAATCATCGCTGAGGGGTTCGTCTGCACCACGCTACTAAGCCTCTTCAGAGGCTTGGTGAGGCAGCGAAACCATCGGAAAACCCTTGGGATTTCATGAAAATTGTCGCTGATTTATAGCTGATTTCTGATAAGTTGACTTTGAATTTGGTGAATCTTTGGGATGATGGGATTATACATATGTATATGTATATGTATATATAACCAGGATAACTATATGTATATATGGGATTATACATGTGTATATTATACATGTGTATATATATATATATGGTACTTATAACTATAGTTATGGTACTTATATACATATATATATATATATAATAACCAGGATTTATGGTACTTAAAACTATACTTAATGGGTTTTATAAATCAACAGACATCACTGGGGGGGCCTCACCTTGTTTGGTATAGAAAGAACCCAGGCTGATGCTTGTTTTTACCTTCAAGGGAAGGTATGACAAAATCACTCTCAATCTCGATAACAAAAACTATTATCTTAATAAAATTGACAATCCTTAATTAATAAATATATATTGATGAACTATGATTCTTTTACATGGATCTTGATAATCTTAATAAAATCTGCAACATCCTGCAGAAACATTGGAACTCCTCAGAAACGTCTCCACGACCTCGCGAAAACCTCTTGAAGTTTCACTGGTAGGTCCGATAGAAAAATGACAATTGGATACTGATCCAGATGATACCAATCCTATTCGCTCCTTCGGTCCTATTCCATTCTGTTCATCCAGAAATCTCCGACTGTTTCTGCCGGTAACTTCCTGAAATTCATAGCCCTCCCATCCACACTTTCTGATGGTCGTGGGTCACGAATTTCCCACATGAAAAGCACCGGTGATAGATTCACCATAAAAAAGAGTTGCCCTACTTTTTGTCAGCAGTTGTGCATATGTTTCCCTTGAATAAACCACATTTTGCCTGCAAATGTTTTCAGTATTCACCTCCACCTATCTTTACGACAGTACTTATTCATGGCGTTCATGGTTTACATTACATTGTAGAACATGTAAAAACAAAAAAACAGCAGGTGTCAGACAGGTGGTTTTCCATTTTCCCCAAGATTTATCGTTCTCAGCGCACATACCTCTAGGATGAGCAAAACGAAAGATGGAATTTTGGTTTCTGGAGAGATCCTGGGGCAAAAAAACATCAAGTCGTCATCTTTTCTTCATGTTTCATCAGCTGTCCAGTTTTTCCAGGGAATTATCTTAAAAAACAGCCTGGCTCATCATCGTTCATACCATTTCCCCACCATAGCAGTGTTCAAAACCCGTCCCATTTCGTCCCTTTAAAAGCTGGTTGAAAACCCATTTCGGCCAGGGGCTCACTTTGGGCATAAATTCGGGCTCACTTGGGGCATAATTTTTTAAGGTT